TCGGGCTTCTTAAGTAAAATTACAAAAAACATTATTTTTATAGTTTTCTTATTTGTTCTGAGAATTATCAATGTAATAAGACGAAAACACACCCGAATTTATTTACCCTTCAGACTTTCAATTTCAGAGTTCTGTATGATGTATACTTAGCTCTACGGATATCCGTCAATATGACGAGTAAGCTAAATCACAATATCTTTTTTAACAAACTTATTTTTCTGGTGATAAATGTAAAAGCAGTTAGAATGTAGAAACTAAGTAAAAATCATAATTCAACTGAAATATCTTTCGATCACATCGAAACCAGTATCAACGCACACGGTTCGCCATGTGTGGTTATCTGTCAAGCATACGTTCCTAAAGCGTTAAAGTAAAGCGTTAGCTGGAGACTAAGGAATGATTTGCAGTCATTGAGTTCCAGTCAGTGTGTCAAGATGTTTTAGAAAAATTTCAGATAGGTGCGAATAGAGAACGATTTAGAAGTTTGGTTTCGGTTTTGTTTAGTTTATTATGGCAAAGCATACTAGGGCTATCTAGTATGCTTTGCCATAATAAACTAAACTAAGGAAAGGGATGCCTTCGTGGAGGACTTTCTAAAGGGACCGACTCGTATACAGGTTATAGATGGGGAAAACGACGAAACGCCTATACCGCCAGCCCGTTGGCTTGGAATCGAACCCAGGGTGGAACTACCAGTGTTCAGCGATTTTACGGCTCGGCCGCTGGCGACCAGGGACCGAGCGGGTGGATCGTCGCCATCAAAAGGAAGTATTAGATTATTATAAGTATTAGCAATACCATTAGGTGACGCAATGATAATCGTTTCTATCAAATAATCATAATCATAATCATAATCGTAATCAATCAGACAAGATGAATATAGACAGTATGTATACTAAAAAAAAAAAAAAAATCTGAAAACATTTAAATTTTATAATACGCCCAACGGGGCGTTTCTTTAACGTTTTATGTGTAACCCTGATTTATTAAATATTATGTTCTTCGCAATTAAACCACATAAAATTCAATTCAACAGCAATAACACAAAATATTTAAAAATAGCATATATTTAGAATTTCAGATAGACAATTTTGCGCGTTGGAGATAAAAATGCTTTATTCCGTAAAGTTTTGCCATTGCTCGCTTTGAAATAGTTGAGTTTGTTAATCAAAAATTCGTTACAGTTTTACAAAATATGAAATAGATAATAAAACAAATTCGAATAGAGTGATACACCTTTAATAGTGAACCGACGCAAAATGCCGTTTCGAAACTAATAGTTAAACTAATAGTAATAATCCCTTCTGGGATGCTAAAAATTAAACCTGATGTTAAAAAAATTTCGTAACCTTTAACATAAATATTACTTTTGAAGTGCTTGGATTGCAAGATTCCTATTGACGTTTCAACTCTTCTTTAAGTCCGCTAATGCACTTGCACCACGATTCACCTCAACAACAGCGCAAAGACGCTAAGAATGGCGATAAGGATCAGGCATTAACCGAAAGATAAAGCAGCGGGGAATTCCAAATGCTACGTCAGCACTAATTAAGATCCTTATTAATGGAAAAAGGGAAAGATGAGTTACATTGCCTTCCCCCTGAACACGCCAATTAATTGGAAATCCGGAGTAACTTCCTTTTCATTGTATCCGAAGAAGAGGCTCCGGGTTTATGTTAACGGCTGCCTGAGTATGTCAAAGATACTGGCAGAAAGAAAGAATTGCAGAGATAGCTAGGCGTGAAATGTTTCTTTTGTCAGCAGCAAAGTCGTTTTTATTCTTTCTCAAAAAAAAAAAAAGTTGCATTCCGGTGAACACTCATTATCCATACCACAGATTGCTCTAAATGAATTATTTGGTATCAGATAGGGAGAGATTTTAGGCAGAATAGACCTAAGCTATCAACTGATTATGAAAGATATCATATCTCAAACTACTTCTCATAAGCTCCCAGCCTAAAGCCTTTACTTAATTGGTAAAGCTCAGAAAGTGTTTTTATTTCATGGACTATTTCTGACTTTAAATAAAAAATAATGCAAATGACGTAAATTTTTACAGAAGTATATGCCACCCCCTCAAAAAAATCTGAAAGGTTTCAGATTTTAACGATTCCCCAAAAAGTTTGATAAGTTCCCCTAACGTTTTTATCCCAGAAGGGCTATTAATTTCATTTTGGCATTTTGCGTTGAAAACTTTAAGAAGCTGTATTCTTTCCAATTGTTGCCACCAAATATTATCGCCCCGAGTTATATTTATGGAAATTAAATAATGAAGAATCTGCATATACGTATGTATGTTTCCGCATTGTGATAAAACAACGATACCTAGAACCATCAAATTTTGAATAATGTAATCCTTCACTCGAATATGGGTATCTGGAAGACTAAATTTGGAATTTTTTATTATCTATTTCATATTTAATAAAACTTAAACTTTTGATTAACAAATTCAACAATTTCAAAGCGAGCAATGGCAACACCGTACGAAAAAAAACAACATTTTTATATCCAGCGCTCGAGACTGTGTATCGGAAATTCTAAAGATAGGTTCTTTATAAATTATTTTGTGATATTGCTAGTGAATTGAATTTTATGGTTTAAGTGCGAAAAAAAAGGATATTTAATAAATAAAGGTCTCATACACTAAACATTAAAAAAAATCCTTTGGGTATAATCTCTACACATAATAAAAGAAAGAGTCTGTGTGTCTTTCAATAGTGCTGCGCGTAAACTAATAGACCCAGGGCTACGAAATTTGATACATACGTGCATCTAGACCTCGTGCCAGTGTACCTTGAAGCGATTTTTTCAAAATTCGAATCATTTTTTTAATTTTAACTTTTCGATTTTATCGCATCATTTTAAATAGTTTCGTTCTTTTATAAATGTGGTTTTGGCAACAGTTTTTCATTCATTTGTATACTGCTGACTGTTGACCCTGTTGCCACTTGGAAAAATGAGGGCGATAATTCTGTGCAGATTTTAAATTTAATGTTTCACTTGGATACTGGACGTTTGTTGTGCGAAGGCAACGAGAGATAAATTTATTTATTAGGATAATTAATATTTGTATTAGGGATATTACTTATTTCATTGTAAATTTTTATATGTAATACACTTTTTTTTTTAGGTTGTTCTGCAGAGTAAAATTCTGTGCAGTTTTTAAATTTAACGTTTGGTATTCCTTTCACGCATTTTTCCGGTACATTTAAAAGCCAGACGAAGGCTGGCACCGTAGCTGCTAGTATAAAATATGAAAACTTTCAGACTTTTTTTTCATATCAATATTCAGTTTTCTTAGGAAGATGGCTAGCAAACATTTTTTACCTTTTTATTATTAATTTTTAATGAATAAACTTTACTAAATATCACGTTCTTCGCACTTACGCCACATAAAATTCAACTGAACAGCAAAATTACAAAATATTTAAAAACAGGATATCTTTAGATTTTCCGATAGACAGTCTCCCGCACTGGGGATAAAAATGTTTTATTCTGTGCAGTGTTGCCTTGATCGCTTTCAAATCATTGAGTTTATTAATAAATAATTTATTGAATTATATTATTATTATTATTACCCAATATGAAATACATTATAAAAACCATAACATCATTCTATTAAAATACTGAACATTTTTAATTAGATAGATCATGAATTAAATGGATTTTTACTATTTAAATCAATCTGATTCAAAAGTAGCAAATGAATATTTTTCATTCAATTTATTGCTTCCAAATAGCTTAGTTTGTTAATCCACTACAGACAGATTCAGTTTGCAGGACAAATATCTTCCATTTTGCCGAATGGCAACAGACTCAAATGAAAAGTGAAACTACGCATTTATAGTGATTCGACGCAAAATCCCATTAATAGGCTTTTTCGGCTAATAAAAAGCGAATTATTGTAAACAGTTGCCTTATTTGTATATATTTCTACTATTGTACACATTTTATTATGCTGTATTTTATATATATAGCATTTTTAGCTTTGTAAATGTCTTTAAGACTGGAAAAACATCGTCGAGCGGCTTGCCGAAACATAAATAAATTATTTTTCTGACGATAAAAGAAATTTTGCAATCCAATCAATACTGTGAATAGAAACAGCGGAAGTTTTCAAAAATTCTTCGACCATTCCATTGTTACTTATGCTGCTATGCACTGATCATCCACACGAGAGTGTAATCATGACTTCCAATTTTTCATTTAAATTTTTCCGATTTCCTTCGTCGATGCAAAAATAATTTTTTGTACATTAAATAAATTTATGTTCACTTATACAAAGTTTAAATGAATGTGTCCAAAAAATATAATATAATATAAATCTTAGATTTTAAATTACGTACAAAGAGGCATTTTTTAACATTTTGTGTCCTACATTTATTTATTAAATATCATGTTCAATGTACTCAAACCATAAAATTCAGTTCAACAGCAGTATCGCAAATTAATTTTAAAATGAGCATATCTTTAGAATTTCCGATACAGAGTCTCGCGCGTTGAAGGTAAAAGTGTTTTTTCTTCGTACAGTGTTGCCATTGCTCGCTTTGAAATCGTTTAGTTTTTTAATCAAAAATTCATCGTGGTTTTACAAAATCTCAAATCGATAATAAAACAAATTTCAAATTCAAATTAGGGCTTCTACATGCCCATATTCTATGGAAGATTATCTTATTCAAATTTTGATGGCTCTAAGTACCATTGTTTTATCACAATGCGAAAAACATACATACATTTATGAGAATTCTTCGTTATTTAATTTCTTTAAATATACGACAAGGTGAAATATATGGTGGCAACGATTTGAAAAGTGATACAGCCTTTTAAAGTTTTCGACGCAAAATGTCAAAACGAAATTAATAGCCCTTCAGGGCAAATTGGCCCCTTGGACTAAAATACACTTGCACGGTTGAATTTAGCAATAAAAATCATGTTGGATACATGTGACAAAAAAAGTAAATATTTACAAAGTATAAATTATTTTTCTGTTCTCTTTTCAGATTACTAAACTAAAAATAGACAGTAATCCTTTCGCCAAAGGCTTTAGGGATTCTTCTCGGCTGACCGATCTAGAAAGGTAAGTTTGCGGAATAAGCTTGAAATTCACAAAGACTGTCATATTTTCAGTGATCTCTCATTCCACATAACATAATATTATGAAATTATGTAAATACTGAAAATATTGCTTCTCGAACCTACATGCCAGTATAAGTCATACGTTATGAAAACTTTACATTACAAATACATTACAGTTTACATATAAATATGAACAAAAACAACAACAACAAAAAGGACAGTTCTATATCTTCCGTCTACTGGGCCGACAGACGAAATTTAATTTGAGTTTTTCATATTTCGAAAGAGCGACATGTATATTAGATTTATACTTAACAATTAATCTGACGTAGGCATTTTGGCTCAAAATCGAAAGACATACCAATTGTTTTCCCATATTTCGATTCCATGACTCAAATTATGCCTAAATATTAAATTTTGTGAAAGATAGTGAGAAATTTACAGAGAAATTAAACAATTTATGTTGGCATATTTTTATCAGTTTGTGCCAAGAATATTTCACTTGGCAGAAAGGAGCAGAAAAAGATGTATCGTTCCTTCTTTCAAATAATTTTCACACACTGCGTAAACCACATTTGGCGTTAATATCGCTTATAACAATCATGCCAAATTTCAAAACGAGCCAATTTACAAAGTTACGTACATTTGAAATTTTGAATAAAAAAACTAATTTTTTGCAAGTATGCCTCTATTTTATGGTGATGGTATAAATTTTGTAGGTTATAATTCAAAAATGTTTTCGAAAACTTTATAAAAATGACTAAAAAGTGCAAATTTAAAAAATAAATCAGAAATCATCTGCCAATTGTTTTTTGATTGAACTTAAATTTCGAGCTGTAAAAGAAGGAATCAAGTAAGTTAAATAAAAAATGAGATATTAATAAACACTAAATACAATTACCACTGAGGAGCTAAAATTTTGAGAGCCAATATTTTAAAAAATATTCGCGAGAATTTTACATAACTTGGCATTTTGGCATAATTTGAATCGTAGAATCGAACGTTTACGTTTTCTATCAGACAACGTAAATTTTGTTTTTGTTTCGGAAAATTTCCCATAAGAGCTTTTAGATATGCTAGAAATATCCCAAATATTGGAAATACGGATCATTTGCATCTTAATATCGCTTTTAAATACAAGCATATAATACACATATACATATACAAATCTGAAAAGAAGAAAGATAACTATTTCGGATATACATAAACGTTTGTACTTAAAATTTACTTAATTATACACAGGATTCTATCAAATGTCTTTCGTTGTGATAGCATGTTATAAAAATGAAAGTTTAATCTTCGATCTAATTTCATCGATATTGGTACGAATTTTATACTAGATAGGTAATTTTAGTAGAATTAAAAGTAAAATTGTTGTATTTTTCTGTGTATTATTTTATTTTACTTATGGTTTTTTCTTTCAAAGTAAACGCTAAGCTGAAGATAAGGCTAGGTGACATCGCAAAAGAAATTTTCGACAAACAAACAGTTTAGCGGGATGTTTCAATCTAGGCTTACATTCTGCTAGTTAGTTCGTACCGTCGCATTGCTGCTGAAAACACGAACATTCGCCGACTGTGCACAGGATTTGGAGACAATAGATTAAAGAAAGGTATGTGAAATCGTTGTAAGGGTCAAAAGTATTGCGAAAACCTATCTTAAAGCCCACCAGCGGCTAAACGGTTAAACTCGCAGAACACTGGTAGTTTGCCCCGAGTTCGATTCCTGGTGAATGCTGCATGGGCGTTTTGGTGCTTTTCCCAATGTGTAATGCGTATACAAGCCAGTTTCCCTTAGCCCTCTACAAAGGGATCTGTTCCCTAAGGCAGATAGCCTTAGTGTGCTTCGCCATAATCAACTAAACCAAACCAAATCAAACTGACTCATCCGAAAGGGGTGCTGTCGTAATCTCGCATTCCACTATTGTCGACTTTCAGTCTATTCAGGGAGTTTTGGATGCTCCCATATCAGCAACAACAGCTCCCTGAAGATTGGCCGAAGATATCAATGCCTTTGACATCAAATCAACCGGCATGAAAGACTGCTACGATGTCGTGACCAAGCTTCTTGTTGTCACGATTTGCACAGAGTAGTATTTAGTTAAGAATTTCATTTTTGCCTTATTAATGATAATCCTCAAATCAGAATTTTGAGGTAACGTGGAAAAAGATCAAATCTTACTGCTATTGTTGAGAACCATGTTAGTCGTCAGTGTGGAAATATAGTTCAAGTTACATTCAGCAATAGTCGATCTCATAAAGATACGCCGACAAGTGAAAATAAGTGCTGCAGCCATTTGCACTACAGTGGAGATTTCTAGATCTCGTTCCAATTTAGCATCTTGCCCACCAGCGGCCGAGCGGTAAAGTCGCTGAACACTGGTAGTTCGGTTCAGGTTCGAATCCCGCGAACGGACTGGCTGCATGGGTGTTTTCGTGGTTTTCCCCATGTGTAACGTGTATACGAGCCAGTTTCCCTTAGAAAGTCCTCCACTAAAGCATCCCTCCGCTTAGGCAGATAGCCCTCGTGTGCTTTGCCATAATTAAATACACCAACACCAATTTAACATCTATCGGATGCAACCTGCCGTCGTTTTGTTGCCCATCCTAGACTAAAACAGGTAACTGAAGGCAATAGTGCAAGCAATATGGTTATCCATATCTCAAGGCAATAACTAAACATTAATTGAATCTGCATAAGAATTTTAGCATGTATCGCCCGAAAGAGAAGGTTCTACTTCTTATTAATTTCCTTGCAAATTCGATCGTCATAGTGCTTGTTCTTGGAATCAAAGTCACTTTTTAGAAGCAGACCTTTTTGTCACTTTTTAGCACATCCCCGTTTTTTCGTGTTGTTGCATTTTCTCAGCCAGGTAATGGATTTTCATAAATTTATAACAATATTAGAAAGTATCAGCTATTATTTTTATCACTTATATGCTACTACTGAGTTATTTATACAGGATGAGTCTGAATTATTTTTACAAAACAAAAGGGTTGAGAGTACCCATCTAGACGAACAATAATTACCATGGAACATACATAGGCTTCCACTCCACTCTGAAAAGTAGTAAAGAGCAAAATTCCAACATGAACTTGCAATAGCGTTGAGAAAGCGAATGAACGATAGAAAAAGTTGCACAATCTGATTTTGGTGAGAGAAAAACTCACAGCAAGTGCTCAAAGTGGCAGCCACGCGTGTTGTTGCAAAGTTCACACCGAAGAATGAATGACTGGCGAACCCTCTTAAAGATTTCTGGTGTTGTGTTAATTTTGTCTGCGGCAATAAAGATTCTCGCTGCGACATCTTCAGTTAAGTCCGCAAGCGTCTCGTACACTAAAAATTTCGTGTGTTTCCGGAAGAAAATGTCCAGTGGGGATGAGCCAGGAGGCCAAGCCACAGATCCGCCATATCCGATCCATCGTGCAGAATATACTGCCTCTCAAAGTGGAATAAGAACCTGGTGGTGGTGGTGGTAGTAGATTTATGGCCCAAAGCTCTACAGGCCATATGCGCCAAGGAATAAGAACCTGTATTGCATGGTAATTATTACTCGTTTGTATGGGTACTATCACCCTCTTATTTTGTGAAAGCAATTTAGAATCGCCTTGTATATTATTTAACATTGTTTTCAAAACATACTGAAAAGTACAAGAGACAATAAAAATTGTTTTTTAATCCTTCAGCGATGCAAAATTTACCACAATTTCAGTTTGAATCTTAAACCTCTCTTCCTCGAATTTTTTATTTTTAACGCATTTATTTACACTAATCGTATTTTATTACGTTCCTTAACAGGTTAAAATATAAATAATTAAATAAATGAAAATTCTTTACCCTTAGATGACTAGCAGTCTATTATTCGACTACGTCTATTTTCGAGTATAAAACCTTTAAATTTATTTTTCTTTTAACAGAGAATCTGTGGAAACATTACTGAGGGAGCATGCCTTCCGTCATTCTCCTTTCCGATCTCTAATAACAGGTGATCTATCGCCAGAACAACATGCCTTGGCAAACGCTGCGGGTAAGTATAAGTTTTCTGACAAATAATAATGGCGTAACAATACGTACCAGATAAAAGGGGAAAAAACTATATTACATTACAGATATAAACAACTCTTCGGAACTATGATTTCAAAAAATATGATGTGGACAACACGTGAGACCCTTGAACAGGCTATTGAATTTTTTTGCTGCACTTCATTTAAACTTATTTCCTCGAATTATTTTAACTTAATTAACCGATTTCTCAAGGTAATTTGAAAATGACATGAAAGATTATATATATATTTGGTTCTGTTGATTGCAATAAAATAGCGAAGTTAACAGCTAGATGTTATAATAGTCCTATATATAAAATTTCAACGTACTATGGCTTGAAATTTCAAAAACTATAGATTTTTGAAATTTCAAGATATATAGGCGTGTACGTACAGGCGTCATGAAAAAATTTCCTTTTGAATCCATTTTACTATCGGTTTTGGTAAAATCTGTCCTTTATTTTGTGCATATGTACAGATTAACAGACCACAGTTATACTATCAATAATAAAATTTAAATTAAAGACTTGATTGCTTTTAAAACAACCAGTCTGTTAAGCAATAAAATTATAATTTTGAAAATGAGTTATAGATCTTATGTCACACTTAATGGCAACACAGGCAGCTGATTAATTGGCTGACCTATGTTATAGATCTTATATTTCGGGTAACGACAACATTTATGAATGTTAAGAAATATGATAACGTAACGCAGAGTCCCAAACATTCTGTAAACATTCCATTAAAAGCATTCTCAATATCAAAACAGAACTAAGTAATAGATCACTTTATCCCAGCAGAAACCACATGGTAAATTTTAGAAATATTCAAGAAATGCATTTGAATACTTAACAGAAGTAAAATAAAATGGAAATAAGATACAGAGATATTTAAAATAACAGAAAATGTTTTTGCTCGAGTGAAAAGTAACGTGTCGACAACATTACTCATGATTTCCTTTACTCTTATGCCACATGGACTTTTCTGAAAAGAATAAAAACCAGAGTAGAACAACAACGCTAGGCAAAAATTATTTTCGAAATACCAAAATCACTTTAAAAAATTTAAATTAAATATCAGTGTTACGGTTGTTGCCATAATAATAATAATGGCTTATTTTTTAATCGCACAAAACTAAAGAGTTGACGTATAGTGGCAATATCTTAAAACCATTTATTCAATGCATTATTAAATGCAATACTGATCGTTAGATATGTTTTGTTTTTTTCCAGTGCATATTGCAGATATGCAGATTCTTAGTGCAATAAGATTCAAGTTTTATCATTATTGTAAGGTACACTGAGAAAAAAAAAAAAAAAAAAAAAGGAGAGTTTTATATCTCCCGTTCTACTGGGCCAGTTGATGAAATTCAAATTGCATTTTAAATATTAAATTTTGTAAAGTTTGGTGCGAAATTTATGGAGAAATTCAAAAATTTATACTGGCACTCTTTTTTTCAGTTTGCGCCAACAATAATTCACTTGGCGAACTTCTTAATTTATAGCAAACTATTTGCCTTTCCTTTTACTCATTGTGAAGAGCGGGAAAAAAGTCATTTTCATTATTTTAAATAATTTTAACAAAGCGCGTAAACCACATTTGGCGTTATTATCGCTTATAACAAATATGCCAAATTTCAAAACCGCCAATATGTAAATAATCGTATATCCTAAGAAATTTTGAATAAAAAACTCTTAACCTTTTTGCAGCTATGCTTAAAAATACATCTTCTTTAAGATGATGGCAAAAATTGTACAGGTTATAATTCAAAAAATTTTTTGAAAAATTTATAAAAATTTAAAAAAGAAATCATAAAAAATGGGCGAATTTTATTTGGGAGTGAACCTAAATTTTGAAATATGAAAGGAAGAATCAAATAAGTTTAATAGAAAAAGAGATATTGATATATCAAATTCAATTAGCATTGAGGAGCTAAAGTTTTGAGAGTTAATTTTTTAAAAACTACTCGTGCGATTTTTACAAAACTTGGCAGTTTGGCATAATTTGAGTCGTAAAATCAAAATATGAAAAAAAAATTGGCATGTCATTTCAGGAAAAGGTCCGATTTTGTGTCAAAATACCTATATTAGAACAATGATATATATAAATGTCGCGCTTTCGAGACTTGAAAAACGCAAATTGAATTTATTCAATTGGTGCAATAGAGCGGGAGAAATAGAACTGTCTCTCTCTCTCTCTCTCTTTTTTTTTTTTTTTTTTTCCATTATACGTGATCAGTGTTGCCAATTTATGTAAGCTAAGCTGTCCCAATGGTCATAAAAATAGAATCATCCTGCAATATGTCATGGAAACGGAATTATTTGCCATTTGTTTATTTCTTTGATAATTCGTACATGGGACACATTTTGTTATTTTCTGAAAATTATTAAACGCTTAAGGTAGTTTAAAAAAATCGAATTTCTTATTGCTAAGAAAGAATATCATAGCGCAGTGTCACCTGCTCCAAACTGTAATTGTTTTTAAAAAAATAGAAATGCCGCTTGCCACATTGGCAAGCCGCATTTAACAAAGCAAAGAGTTGCATCCAGCTAGCGAACCGCAGTTGGTCATGCCTGTTACAGACAAAATATTAAATCTGAGTTATTTATGTTTACAGTTTAACACCTCAAAATATGGTTCACCAATAAATGTCAAACAATAAAAAGAAAATTTAAAATGTAAAACAAAAGAAAAATTGGAAAAGAAATGACTTATTACGTATCATTAAGAAGTGTGTTTATTGCTTTATGGTCATTCAGTTTATTAATCAGAGGCAGACATATTGAATAAATTTGAAAGACAAATTGCAAATATTAGATTTTGAGAAATGGCAACATTCTGAAATCCACCATATGCTATGCATACATAATCTCTAAGGTAATATCTACCACCAACGTTAACACACTATTTTTAAACAACTCAGTATGTTAATAACATAATGATTTAATCTGAAAGAGAATATAACGATCTTATACTTTGACGAATGATAACAATCTAAGAAATGACTATGCGCCAACGCGCATGGAAGATAAATTTAATGTCCGTGATCAGAGATCCCCAGTCCTTTTTCTCGCATTGACCATTTTACATTTTTCTCTATAATATAAAATACACATCTGAATTATAATACAAATAACTACACATAATTAACTTAAGCATAACAATTAGATTAAGAACATGAACAAAGAGTTTGAAACAAACATGTTTTATTAGATTTACGTTTAACTACTTCTTTTGTACTATTATTTTCGATTTTACTAATATAAACTAGTTTTTAGAAACAAAATCACTTTTAATTTCACAAAAGTTCGAAAAACTGATGGCTGCATTTAACGTATCGATGCAATTTTTTGTTAATATTTGACGTAAAACCGCTTCGTTTAATTTTTAAATCTCTTTGTTCAAAAATTTTCAATCTGTATCTTGTTATTTTATTTTAGTTTTGCGTTCTTTGCATTTATTTTGCGCTGTTTTCTGTGTTCTTGCAATTTACTTTTTTAAAGTGTACTTGTTACAATATATATATATATATATATATATATATATATACATTAAAAAATAACATTGATTTTTAAAACATATGAAATAATTTTAATGTATTTATTTTACATGATTTCTTCCTTACTGTATATATTAATAAACAATTAATTATTAATTTCATTAATAACTTTTTTGGGTGATCTTCACTATGCCGATCAATTGCCAGTGCATATTCAGCTATTGATCCCTTGATCATCATTAACTCGCTTTAGAATTTCATCGACCCCGTTAAAACCCCAGTTCTGGATTCTTTCCATTTTACTAATCCGTCAGTTTCTGATGAATGACAGTGTTTACAGATTCTATTTTGTCAGAATAGAATTTTATATTTTAAGTGAAAACACTATATCTATTATGAGATGAGTGCACTCCTTCCTGTTTATATTTATTACAACATGCGTCATTAAATTCGTTTTCTGCATTGCCTGCAGAGAGCAATTAGCTCTGATATCGGCACTTGTCTCATTGTTCATATAGAATACAGATAATATAAGAGATAAAAATAATTCATTTCATCAAATTTACTAGCTTTATATTTCTTCTGGTATATTTTTAAACGTTTACTAATTCTGATAATGTAACTGTTACAGCTCTGGGACGCATTCCTTCTAGCAGCGAGCTATTGCTGTTGGCATCTCAAAATGGAGCTTCACCATGGAAATTCCCAGGTGCGCTTGGCTTAGGAATGGCAGATTTCAGCTCACTGATGGCTTCGACAAATCCTCAACAAGCAGCTGCCCATTTTGCTAGTTTCTACTTTGGTATACCAAGGGCATTCTTTCCCTCGAGTTTACCAGCGCATTTGGGAGCAATGACTCCAGCTACTACCAGCAGTATTAATCCCAGTGATATAGCTGGCCAAGCAAGGACTACTGCACCTTCCAATTACCCACAATTAACAGGAAGTGCTATGGCCAGCCAAGCACTTTATACCACAAGACTACAACTGTCGGGTCTCTATCCAGGATTGAGATTTCATCCGTATTTCCAACCACGGCTTCTACGCCCTTCATCGGTGACACAGAAAACGGTTGATTCCAGCTCTGACTGTGATACTATGAGCCCCGGTGTATAAGTATCTACATTTTCTGTGATTTCTAGAGATGTCAATTTTAAGCTAAGCAAACCATGCATAGAAAAATATATATGGCAAGGCAGACAAACGAAATCGCATATTTCACAGATCACATATGTAGTAACTACCTAAAGTTGGAAATACAACTTCTAATGCAATACACAATACTTTCGAGATATCCTATTCTAGTACATAGCAAGACAAACACAATAACTTATTTTCTGAAAAACGCATAAAAATTAAGCTCGCTAAATTTTAGATTATGATACAGTTAGCAAGTTTCCGAGTTGGTGACAGATGTTTGGGTGATTTTCAGTAAATTAATTCCATATTTTATCCACGCTAGCGATACTAATTTTTCACTTTTTTATTTGAAGATGTTGTTACAATGATTTTACGCAGTGTTTATTTAAAACAGCTTCGACGAATAATTGCTTTCACTTTCATATTAATGCCCAATCTTCGTATACATTTATATTTATACCATTTAATTAACGAGAGTGTTAGGTATAGGTAAGTCGTCCAGGCCCTTTTTATTAAAAAGCACACAGCATATAAATTAAGTACAGGATTAAACTCTTGTCCTATTAATGTCTATATACTTAAAACCTTTAATAAATGTATCATTTTAAACATATTTTGCTTAATTATTTAGTTAAATTAAAACTTAAAAATTGTCTTTTTCTGAACACGCAATCCAAATGATTGAAATCAGCTTTCGGTTGTGCAAATAAATCAGTCCCTAAGCAATTATTGTTCACTTTATTAAACGTCATCAAAAACAACATATTTTAAGTAGCCTAAACAAATATTTAATTTAAAATTAATGTCTAAAAATATGTTACTGGAAGAATTTGGTCTAATATCATTTGTACCATTTTAAGCTTCTTTCACAGATTCTAATGTAATTTAATACGGTATTTTATTCTACGATAATTCACTGTGTACAGTTCTGTTCAGGATAAAATAGACTAAAATTAGTGTACTATGAAAAATATTAAAAATAAAAACATACAAAAAAATATATACGTATGCATACACGAAACTTACTAATTAGCTAATAATTAAACCAATTTATTTGGCATTCATTCAATATTTGAAGGGTGTGGACGAAAATTGATTTTAAGTTTGCGTTCAGCTAGAAGTCTTTATAATATACTAAATATAAATAACTCCTTTCTCGTATAAAAATTTTGTTTTATAACCATATAACATATGAAACTAAAGAGGAAAACTTCATCCTTGCTAAACGAATTCATGAACACTCACACATAATGTGTGAAAAAAAGCACAAATTTTTCCACATACGATGTGCAGTCATTTTCCCTTATTTAAAAATATTAGCTTTCGAACAAGATGAATGTAAAGCAAACAACTTTTCAACAAAAGGCAATTAATACTGTGTAAAGCACTTCACATTACATTTCCAGCCCTATCATTTAGTTATTCGCCAGCTGAGTATTTTCTTTTTAATATTTTACTCAATTTTCTTAATCTTTGCAATTTAGCTACTTAACATATCGCCATAGAAAAGTCTTCTGAGAAGCTGGCTTTACAATTTTTGAGAAATTTATAGAATTTTATTTATAATGATTTGCCGTGGCGAAGGAATACAAGAATAAAGTTACAACATGCTGATCGAACACATAATGGAGAATGAGGTCTTATGACTAGAAATGAGAAGGCCATGATATAGAAGAATAAAACGACGTGATGTAAAACAAAAACAGCAGTTTTTCTCGCTAGAGATAATTTCTTCAATCAAAAAAAAAAAAAAAAAAATTACATTTATTTCATATTAAACTTTCAAAATGATGTTTCTTTTAAATTTCTGTAGAAAAATGGTTCTAACCGTAATTCAGTATTGTAACACTAATGTTCTAAATGAAATTCAAACAAAAAACAGGTACTATTTCTTCAAGGTTATCAACAAAAATATCTAATTGGATACCTCTTTCTGAACAAAAACGCAGACAAAGTAACAGGAAACATACATAGACAACATTATAAACCTTTCTAAATATAAATCAAAAATGGGGGAAATAAAATACAGCAATAATCCTTACACAAGGTCAATAAAATATATTTTTTTTAATTCTTATTAAATAGAAAAATATATACACAGTTCCCAGAATAATTTAATTTTCTAAAAAACTGGATTGTTTTGGAATAAATTCTCTCTTATTCTTAACATTTTATAGCACATCATGGAACTGTTTCTTCTTAACCAACAACACATTCAAGTATCAACTGACTAACAACGAGTTAAGATAAGCTTACAGTGAAATCCACATTCATTCTCGAGCTTTTATTTGCAGGATACAATGAAAATATGCACCTGTTAAATACAAATAATGTCTCTATACTTTTACGTATTGGTTTTGGACAAACAGACAAAATATTACTATGAAACTAACAATGACCATATAAAAATTACGTTAATAAAAATGGGATGAAAATTCCTCTAATTTGGACAAGCGTTACTTTTTTGTTAAAGCGGACATGTCACTTAATGAACCATAAATGGCTTACGCAGTGGTCGTTTAACGTGAAAGTATTAATTAAACGTCTATTCAGAAACTAGTTTCGGTACTTACGTACTTTCCCGTCTACCATGAAAGTTGCCGAACATCCCGCCAAACTTGCGCTTATCATTTCGGCAGAAGTTTGGAAGAAACAGATTGCTCAGGATTCCGTAACGTAACTTTGAAAATACTCATGGAGATTCTTAGATGTTAGATCTCAAATTTTGAACTTTTTTTTTTTTTTTTTTTTTTCGAAATTAGACAGAAAATAAGAGCGAAATAACAGTTAACTCATATTCTTGTTTACAAAAGTTAAAAATGTTCATCGAAGAATAATCGGGGTAATATAAAATTCAGGTAAAGATCTTATATGTTATGACGTCCCATGTAACCGTTACTTGACACTAAATCTTATTGTTTAGTGATAGGTTTTGTTTGCCAAGAATAGTCGACGAGAAAATATCTAAGTGCCTCATTTTAGAATATTTGAAAGATTTTCATAAAGCTTACTCCACCAAATTTTTTTCAAAACTGAAATTAATATTACGATTCTCTGAATAAAACTGAATTACATGAAAAACACATTAAATACATAAGTGCTGCAGATAAAGAGGATATAAAATAAAGAGAATTTCAACGTATTGTGTACTGTCAATAATACAAGCAAACAGATAAAGTTTCTTTCATTGCCATTAAATTTTAAATTAGAATTGTAAGAACATTTAGGGAATTCCTTTCATCATCATGATAATAAAAATAACTGCATAATGTGACTTTGTTCCCTGATTAAGCACAATTATAAATAAGAACATTTATCACAATAACAGGTAACCCTAGACTTTGAAATCTTATGCACATTGTTTGTACCATTTATTATTAAACTAATCACACCAAATCATGTTCAATTGTTTAGTCACCACTTTGTTTCACATAAAAAACCCATATAATGCCTCTCCACATCTGCCTGTTATATGGTCGTATGCATAACAATAAGTGCAAAATGTTCTAAAGAAGAAGTTGTTGTTAAAAGGATGGAACATTTTATCAAGTCTGAAAAATGATTATTTACATATCTGAAGACTGTGAATATCACAAAAACTTTTCTTAAAGAATTCCTATGTACATAATTATTTTGTTTTGTTCGTGTATAACTTGTTAGATCCAAGCACTGATAGTTTGCAGGAAAGAAAACAGAAAAGAACAAAGAATTTGTTTCCAGTTTCCTTATAATAACATATCTTCTTTTACCTTGGTGCGAATAGCAGCATCATATATCAGATTTGCAGATTATAGCTGTCTTTGAAGTTTTCAAACATAGATAGATCTAAAAAAATAAAAAATTCGTAAAAGACCATTGTATTAGATTTATTCGACAATACTATGCGATCAAGAAATCATGTGCCAGTTTTATAACTATGAACTATTTTTATCTATGAAAGGCGGCATAGAATGTAAAAAATCCTTCCAGCTCATTTCCTTGTAATTTTTCGGCTAGTATTGGGGTACCTAAGAAAGAATTTTGCCCGAATTATATGTATTTCATTTATTACTTTAACAATTAGTGCAAGATTCACAAATTTAAAATTGTTTTACAATTATTGCACGCATAATTTTACAATTATTGCAGTTTGAAAACTAAATTACCACATTTTAAAATATTTCTCGCCGCAAATCTTTTTCATATTATAATTATATTTAAAAACTAACATTACTATTTGTTATAATGTGAACTGCAATTTTGTCGTGCTTGGTCTAAAGCACGGATTCTCTTGCACCGACTATTTTTAAAAGCATGTTTTTTTTCATAGATTCCTTACATTTGCCTTTACAATATACAGTATACATCATAAACATAATACAAATAATTGTATGGAAACAACTTAAAGATAACAATTACACTAAAAAATTTAATAAAAGTGTTAAAAATAGATTATTAGACTTTTTTAAAATCTTAATTAAATTTGTATTTATTTATTTTAGTATTATTCTTTTAACTTTAAAAATATAAACAATTTTTCAGAAAAAGATTCACTGATTCTAAGTGCACAAAAGTTTAATTTTAATTAATGTATGGCTTTGCTTGATGTATTGATACAAATTTTTAACATTTATCATAAAAATTGCTTAATTAAATTCTTATATCACCTCATTCAAAAAATTTTAACTTGTTTCTCGTTTTAATTGTAAATTATTGACTTGATTAAAGCTCGCTTCCACTACATAACAAGAAGAAAAAATCCCCTTTATAGTGTTTTTTTTTTTTTTTTTTTTTTGGTTGAGGTTGAAAAGCAGCTTCTGAATCAATAACACAACGAACGTAGTAAAATGGTGTAAAGCCCCCCCCCTTAATAACGGGGGAGGAGATAAGTAGTTAGCTTGAAAAATTTTTGTCTATCGTAAAAGAATACATTTAAATATCGATGATATACTGCCATTTGACCAGAACTTGCCTTAACAAATTTCAGCGGTCAGCATGGACAAAAGAATAGTAAGCAGATTTTCCCAGGTTTC